ACCTGATCCTGCACTGGAGCTCAGTGCAGCCCTGTCAGAGGACATCAGGGCTCTGCCACGGCTGGAATGGCAGCAGGAAGCCAGCTCTTGCCACCTCTCTGCTGATGTGGGGAGGGGAAACTGAAACACGGATCAGGGAAGGAGCCTGTTACAAGCCCCTTCTCTCGGTGTCTTGGCCCATGGTGTGGAGGCTGCCCTGCTGTCCTGCCGAGCTGTCCCTTGCACAGACCACCATCTCTCTTCCCCAGTTTTCCCCTCCCCTGTGATTCCTGGGACTTGGATGCGCTGAGGAGCAAAACTGCCCCGTGCTGGGTCTCCCCCGAGCAGTGGCAAGACCTGCACTGAGAAGAAGGTGCTGTCCCATTTTACAGCCCCGCCGCTGGACTCTCGCGTTCCCCTCCCCGCAGCCCTGTTGTGCAAGCTCGCCTCCCTGATTTCGCTCCCGTGCCTTATAAGTCCCGGCTCCCGGGGCAGCCGCAGCCTCGCCGCATTCCAGCGGCCTCGCGTCAAGTGGCCCTGGCTGCATCGCCGTGGCCGGGACCGGGGCTCCGTGTGCTGCTGCGGCTCTGCCGGTGGCCCCGGGTACCTCAGAGGCACCCCGCTGGGATGCTCTCCTCTGGGAAAAGCTGGAGTCCATGTCCCTGAGCTGGGACATGTCCTGGCTGCCAGAAGTGAGGAGTGCCTTTAGGATGCTGCCATGGAGCTTCTCCCTGTCCTCAGCAGGATGACACAGGGCTGGTGGTGTAGGAAGAAGGTTCAATGGGCCTTGTGAGAACGAGTGGGAGATGGCTTGTCTGCAGGAAAAACTTGCATGCAGCTGGGGTAGCTTCCTGGAGAGGGGAGTGTCCAGTGGAACAGCGTTGGAGGAGGCACTAGAGCCCATTCCTGCTGTAGCTGTCCTCGGGTGTCTGGAATCACTGCTGGGAAAGGCTTGTGTGCTCCAGGTGCTGGGATTGTGGATCCAGGACCCGGCCAGTTTGGAGGGGCTGGAGTGGCCCCAGCTGTGTTGTTGGTGATGTAGCTGAAGGCCTGAATTCACAGAAGGGGAGGGTCAGCCTTACTGGTTCCCACGGGAGGAATCAGAGCAGTCTCCCAACAAAAACCCATCACCCACAGCAGCCTTGTGGGGGGTAGATACCTGTGCCCTTACAGTGGGCACCTCTGACATAACCTGACCCTTGTTGGGCTGTGGGGCAGCCTCTGGCTCTGCTTAGGGCTCCCTTCTGAGAGCTCTTATTTAAAAGCAGCCATGGCCAGGAGCTGTGGATGCTGTAAGAACCATACTGACCCTCTGGTGGCACTGGAGCTGTGGCAGGTCGAGGTAGGTGCTGCTGCCTGGCTCCTTTGAGGGCTTGGTGTGAAGCTCCTGGGTGTGCTGGCACAAGGTGTGTGTCTCTTCGGGGAGACGCAGCTGTGCAAGGACTGACACTGAGAACTGAGGGCTGAATGGGTTTGTCCTTGTCCCTCCCTCCTCCTGCGTGGGAAGCTGTGCTGGGATCCTCCCTCTCTAAGAGATGACCTAGATGGTCTTGTCCGTCCTGGCATGAATCCTGTTTTTCCGTGGCTCTCCTTCATCTCTGCCAGGTGTTTGGACTGGGGACATCCCAAGAGGGGCAGGGATGGGGCAGGGAGAGTGTTTTCTGCAGGGCCTGCAGCAGTGTGATCTTGCTGGGCTGTCCTAGGCAAGAGCCGCTCCCTGCCCTGCTTCCCTCTGTGCCTGTGTGTCCAGTTTGCATCAGCCCTGGGTAGGATGGGGTTGTTCTCACCTGGTATCTGAGTGGGTGGCAGCAGAACCCAAGAGCAAGCTTAGAATGTGGTATTCCTGGGGATCTGTTCCTGCTGAACGTCTGGATGTGCAGTTTGGCTCAGGCAGCTCCTGACCCAGCCCTGGATGGATATTTTTGGTGGGTGTTTTTTTTTTTTTTTTTTCTGTCCAGTGGCTTTTCCAGCTGTGCAGTGGGGAGATTCAAGATCTACATGGATCTGGTGTTTAGTGGCAGGGAGTTGAAGCAGGGCAATTATATTTTAGCAGAAGCTTACCCTGTCATGGCATATTGAGTGTGAGGTCTGAATGCCTAGATTTGTCAGTTCAGCGTGGTCCTACCGGCCTCTCAAAGCCTGCAGGACTTGGGCTGCAAAGGGCTGACCGGAGAGTTTCAGTTTGGTTAATTCACTGGAAGATGCTTGTTCAGATCCTGTTGCCCTCATCTACAGTTTACTCTCTTTGGGAGCAGGGGAGGAGGCTGGACTAGGACTGCTCTTGGTGCACAAGAGGCTCAGACTGCTGAGCTGCCTCCTGCTTTTCTTCTGTGGGATAACCCAGATCTCCTTTGCTTTATGCCTGGTGTTAGAAGTGAACTTCCTCTGGCTTACCTCACTCTATCCATTGCATTATTGCTCAGGTCTCTCATCAGCTTCACCCTCCCTTCCCTGAATAACTTGGTCTCTCTTTCCTCTTACCCTTCTCTTGATCACTTATGGATGTGTTAAATTGCAGAGATCTTGGAAAACAAACCTCTTGGTCTTGTTGCTTCTAACAAGCTCTTCTGAGCAGGGACTTCTTTCTTAGTTTGTCTTGCATACACCCTCTTTGAGGTGGTTGGCTGGTGGCATTTGGGATTTCCCAGGCTTTGGGGTGATGCCGACCCTTGGTGGGTGCTGTGGCTTGGCTGTGGGACCCCCTTTCCAATGCTGTGGATGGTGGCAGACAGGACTTGGAGGCAAAGGGAATCCTTTGGCCTGTGAGAGAACGTTTCTTGTTCCCATCCTTGGCAGCAACTTACACGTCTGGCGCTGGGAGCTTGTTACCTCTGGTACTGGGAGCTTGTTGCCCCTGACAAAGAGCTTTCCTGGGCACCTGCCTTGCTCTGTTCAGGCCACTGTAAGGGCTCCAAGTGCCGACTTCCCCTTCCCTGAGCCACTGCACAACTTCCATCCTGTCATGCCTGTCGCAAGGACTTACTGAGCGACGTGTCACGGGGCCATTTAGAGACCCAACAGGGATGCAGATTTCTATCTGCTCGAAAGAAACATCCATTCTGGGGGCTGAGCACACTCAGATCCTGAAATATTGAAAAGGGATGGAGCTTTCACATGGCTGAGGCACATGTGTGCCACCACACTCTGCAGTCCTCCCCTGCAAGAGATGGCCGTGGGTCTTCTGGGAATGCACTGCAGGCGCTCCTTGTGGCTTATGCCAGAGCGCAAGCGCTGGAGTCTTCAAGGCATCCAGAAAACTGAGAAACAGTGACATTGCCCCCTCTGTCTGTGCATGTGGTGCCCCTGGAGTGAGGCACTGAGGCATCAAATGAAGGGTGGCTGGGGTGGGGAGTCTGTTGGACTGTCTGGTGTGTTCCCGGAGTGCTCCACATAACATCCTGCTTTCCTAGGTAGGACAAAGCAAAGTTGTGTGGTAAGGCCATCCATATTGAGAGGGATCAGGGGAGGGGATGGGAAGGATGCTCAGTGACTGCATTCTCCAGTCGTGAGATGTGCTGGGCTGGAGAAGGGCTCCCCACACTGGTGGGGGGTGGTGGCAGCCCTCAATCTCAGCATGCACAGAGAACACCCCAGCCTTTCACGATCACTGTCCATCCTGGGGGGCTTCAGCTGCTCCCTGAGTTGATGTGAGGGGTGTTTCTCTGCCTTGACAGGACTGTCCTGGGCACAGGAGGTCAAAGAGGTGAGTTTTCTTCTGCAAATAGAAGAAACTTCTCTGCATGGAGGAATCTTGATCTGGCTGCCCCAGAGGAATTATGGAGTGCAGAGGCTCCCATGTTTTCATGTGCTCACTGTCTCTAGCCCAGGAGCAAGGCAAGTGTGTGCTGCTCAGTTTGATGGTAAAAGAGGTTTTGGGTACAACCCCTTTCCCTGGGGAAGGCTGAGCAAAACCAAAAATGTGGGAGTAGAGTCCTTCTGCCCTGCAAATGTAATGGGGTCACTCCATACTGGAAGCAGGCCAGGAGATGGGCTCTGGCTTGAGGCTCCTGCTCCTTGTTAATGATGACGAGTGTCTTCATGACCCCCATTATGCATAACTTCCCTTTCCAGCTCTTTGCTGGTTTACAAGAAGTCTCTGCAGCTTCATCATGCTGCTTCCTGTGGAAACAGTCTGCCAGCCAGTGTGCAGGGAGAAAGTGGCCACAATGGTCTGCCTGTTGAGCAGAGTTCTACCAGACCATGAGCCTTCAGCACTCTTCTTCCCGGCTATTCAAGTGAACTATTCTCTCTAATTTTAATAGATTATCTATTGAAATCCTCCTCTGGCACTGTGTTTTTTGCTTACACATGAGTGTGTTTGGACTTGGTCCATGACTTCTACAGCCTGGGAAGAGCAGCAGCCCTCAGGGCCTTGGTGCAGCAGGGCTGCTGTTGGCAAGGCACAGCAGAACAAACACTGTGAGAATGGCTTTGGGAGAGACTTCTGAAGGGTCTGATGTGTGTTGGGGAAGGATCTAGGCCGGGACACAAAAATCTTCCTCCGGTGGTGTTGTAGGGCTCTTGTAGGTGTCAAAGGATGTGAGTGGAGTAGTGAAGTGTTTCTCAAAATTGAGGGCTGTCTTTGAATCTATGACTGGAGTAAAGTGTCAGGATAGGCTTAGGAGAGGACATCTAGTGTGTGATCTGTAGAAAGAGCTGGAGAGACAACTGGGTCTTCTGCTGGTTTCTTCTGGACCTTTGGGATGTGTCAAACTGTTAGTTCCTATGGAATGTATGGTCTTTTCCAGTTTAGCCATCAAGGATGTGGGTGGGTGATTCTGCCCTGATCAACCCAGGCCTTTCTGCTGGGCACTGAATTTTTGTAAAGATCTCCATCCTTTGTGGCAGGAATGAAAGGGCTGGGTGTCTTTTATCCTGGACAATGTTCCTCTAATGCAGGGAAGGGTTAGTGGACCTTTGGTTCAAGGTGTCCTACTCTTGCTGCACGTGGCTTCCAAGCTCTGCTCCCACGTTGGCACCAAGCACCTCCTTTCAGTAGAGCTCGTTGGCCTCTCCCCTAGGTACGGACGCTGTTTGTCAGTGGCCTTCCTGTGGATATCAAGCCCAGAGAGCTTTACCTACTCTTCCGACCATTCAAGGTAAGGTCTTCAAATCTGATTTTTGGTGCCAAAGATGCTGTTTTGTGGATGACCTGGCAGCAAAGGTCTGTCAGGGGGAAGGGAGCATGATGTGGGAAGGTGGTGTCTGTGCAAGCTTGGGGAACCTGAAGCCAACATGGTGTCCCATGCTTGTGCTCAGATGGAGAGCCTCCCCGGGAGCCTACCATTGGAATCGTGCTGTCTCTAAGCTTGATGAAATCTGCTTGGACCAGCCCTCCCTTGGGGATGTATCCTGATCCCCTAAACTCTCTATCCCTCTCTAATCACCACCTGGGCTGTCCCTGGGAAAAGTGCAGTTCCCTTGTCTGCACTCCTCTAGCACAGGGTGGGTGGTCTGTGCTCTGTAGGCACTAGCCAGGGCAAGGTGCTCATCTTCGTAGCTGGAAGGAGTGCTAGAAAATGGGATTTATTCCCCAGGGGCCAGGATGGGATAGCTAAGATACCTGCTCTGCCCTCAGTCTTCTCCTTTGGTGGGAAAGAAGTGTTACTGTCCCTGCTCCTGCTGCCTTATTGAGGGCTTGGTGCTACAGGAACTCCTGGGGCTGTCATGTCGTGTCTCAGTTGTAGCTTGGCTCCTTTGGGAGCCTGACACTGACTTGCTTTCTTCCCTCCTGCAGGGTTATGAAGGGTCACTGATCAAGCTGACTTCAAAGCAGGTACCTCCTTCTTCCAGCCTGGGTATTTTTGGCTTCTGCTAGAAAACCAGACGTGCCGGAAGGGGAGGGGGGATCCCGTTTTATTTTCAAGCACTGTCTGGGATCAGCACCATGTACACAGCTGGGTTCTGCTGACCCCACTGTCCTGGTGGTCCCAAGCATAAGCTGAATGTTTCCATGTCTTCTCTTGCTGCCCTGGGTGAGACCTGAGGCTTCAGCCTCACACCTTGTGCTGCCATCAGCCTTCCCTACTCCCATCCTGACCAAGGCAGCAGGCCCCCTATCTGGGGGCTGTTGGGGTGAGTGGTGTCCCCACACGTGGGGATGCCAAAATGTTTTGGTGTGCTGGGAGAAGGCACAAAGTGGGAATCTTGGGCTGATGATCCAAGACCCTTCAAGCTCTGCCTGAAGCCCCTCTGCAGCTTTGGATGGTCTCCTTTGCTTGCTGTCTGGGGCAGAGGCAGGGGGAAGGTAGTCTGAGAAGTTGCAAGAGGCTTCAAAACTGAAATTGTTGTTATTTCTTTTAGCCAGTTGGTTTTGTGACCTTTGACAGCCGGGCTGGTGCTGAAGCAGCGAAGAACGCCTTGAATGTGAGTCTCCAAAGTGCTGGGGGACTGTGGGGGCTGGGGGCCACATGCCCTGCTGTAGCTAGGCCTGGAGCTGTGGGTTTGGCTTGGCCGTAGGATAGGACAGGAGGATCTCCCAGCTGTGCCTTTGAGTAAGGAAGCAAAACAGTCCTGCAGCATCACACCAGGGAAGCAAGAGAGCTGCTTAAGGCTGACATCAGCTGAGCAAATGGATGCAAGCTGTGTCCATGTTGTTTCTGACGGCTGGAAGACAGCTCTGGGGCCTCTGAGGGTGAGGGGAACTGTTGTTGCTCAAGAAGGTCTTGAGGAGGATGGTCATCATGGGACCCAAAATAATCCCTATCCCATGTGGGCCTGCAGGAGTTGGTGGGATCTGGTCAGCAAGACATGGTTCTGCTCTGGTATAGACCTTGCCTTGGGCTTTGGTACACCAGCAAGTGCCTCTGCTCAGGCTGGCAGAAGATGTAGTGGTACCATAGATGGGGGTTATACCAACTCGAGTACAGACAGGGTTATCTCAGCCCCAGCAGACAGATCTTTCCTGGCCAATGTTGGCAGCCATAATGGTTGATGAACTGCACCTGAGGAGCAGAACTGTGTCCCTCATGTTGGAAGCAGTGGTCCTGGGCCAGCTAAACATAAAAATAAAAGCATGTAGGAGCTTGAGTGTTGCAGTGAGATGACAAAAATCTGGGCATGTGACTGCAGCATGGTGGCCTTAGTTCCCTGGTTCAGGGGAAAAGTCTGTGCTTGGATTGGAAACTTCACGTCTGAGAGACTCCTGTGCTTTCTCCTGTGACAGGGCATCCGCTTCGACCCTGAGAACCCCCAGACCTTGCGGTTAGAGTTCGCTAAAGCCAACACAAAGATGGCCAAGAGCAAGCTGATGGCCACACCGAACCCCACCAATATCCACCCTGCCTTGGGTGCACACTTCATTGCACGGGACCCCTGTAAGTATGCTGGGAAGCGCTTGGAGATCATTACTGGTCCCCCCTGGGAATGCTGTCAGGGTGAAAGGAACCCCGGTCCACATCTGCTTTGACTGAAACCTGCCTGGTGCAGAGAGGTTGGAGTTGCAGGAGAATAACAGACATCTGCTGAGGCCAACAGTAGAACTATTGGGAGAGCGGAGTTGGTTTTGGTAGTTCAAGTGATACCATAAATCCCTTAAATCATCCCTAGGTGTGAAGCATAAAGAATGAGTGCTGTGCCATCACCCTTGGTGTGGCCTGGTAGGGTGAGCAGCCCCACTGAGGATCATTGGGTGACGAGTGATGTCCTCTCTGAGAGCCCCCATCTTCTGTCCTGTGGCACCAGCCCTGTGCTGCATGTGTGAACCAGCCTGTCCAGAGCCTCTGTGAAGCCTGTTCATGACCTCTTTTGGCAAGGCCGGGAGGTCAGAGGAGCAGTTGGGCACACAGATTTTGTACCTCACTGGGATGGCAGCACAAAGCTGGGGTGGGAAATCCAGAGCCCGCCCCCAGAGCAGGCCTTTGGGGTGAGGTACTGAGGTCTGTCCCCTTGTCTCCTCCTGCACAGATGACCTGACTGGAGCGGCTCTGATCCCAGCGTCCCCTGAGGCGTGGGCTCCCTACCCCCTGTACACCACGGAGCTCACCCCTGCCATCCCCCACGCCGCCTTCACGTACCCGGCGGCCGCTGCTGCGGCTGCTGCTCTTCACGCTCAGGTGAGTCGCTCCCCACCTCCCGTGCCAGGATCCAGGCCCTCCTCTCTCCCTGCCCTGGTGCTCATTCCCGTGGTCTCTGCTTGCCAGTTTGACCCTGGCCTCTGCACCTTTGGCTCCTGGACAGAGCCTGCCCCTGGCTGTGGGCATGGGGGGCTCAGCCCCGAGCCAGCTGCAGGGGAGGGGTCTGTGTGGCCGAGAGCAGGCAGAGCTGGGCCATGATTTCTGACCCTGCAGGTCCAGCCTGCTTTCCTGTGAGGGGCAGGCAGGTGGGAGGAAGCCAGGGCTCGATGTCTGGCTGACTCTGTTGGTCCCCATGGCTAGAGAACCATGTTGAGGGACTGCTGGGAGGAAATGCTACCTGTCAGCAAGTAAAATAGCTATGAAAGATCCTCCCTGAAGTCACAGCAAAGGCAACAGGCTCATCTTGGTGCTAAAACCGAGGGGCTCAACTGTGACCCAAGTGACTCAAACACTTTCAAAGCTGGAGGAGGGTGTCCAGCAGGAGATGAGTGACCAGAGCCTTGCCACAGTGAGGAATTCTGATGGGACAGCCTGTTAGCCACTTTGGGTGCAGGCTAGAGAGAAGGGTCATTCTGTGCATGAGCCTCTGGAAGTGCTGATGGTGGTGCAACCAGCTGCCTGGTGTCCCAGGGCTTGCTTGCTGACAGCTGGGGACGTAGGGATGCCTTTAGTGGTCTGAAACTGGGATGCTTTAAGGTACAGAGACCAGCACAAAGTCCCTGAAACCATGGAATGCAAAGGGAAAGCCAAAACAGAAGCAGTGTCCTAATTCCAGGTTTAGGTGCTTGACTTGAAGCCCTTGTCAGGAGAAGCTGGAGCCCTGTCCCTGCCCTGCTCAGTGTTCCCAGCCAGTTGTGCTCTTCCTGCTTCTGTCTCTGCTCCCGTAGCGGTGCTGTGGGGGATTGGGGCAGCGGGACTGACCATTGGGGCTTAACCTCTGAGCTCTGCCTGCCAAGCAGGGCATTTGCCTCTGCTCTTCCCTGCTTAAAGGGAGAGGCAGAGGAGCTGTGTCCACTCATCTTGTCCTCCTGGCTGGCAGTTAGCTCTGTTGGCCCTTTGGCGTCCTTGTGCTTCCAGCAAGCTTTGTGATGGTAACTGCCCAGCTTCAACCCAAGCTTGCTTCCCAAATGCCACATGGAAGGGGATGCAAACTCCTGGCCTCTGTCCTGCCCCTCTCACACCTGCAGAACTCTCCTGCTTCTGCCCTTCTACAGGTGAGCTGGTGTTGTGCTGAAGTTCCCGTAGGGTAGGTGGGAATTATGTGGGGTTTAGACCTGGACCAGGGACTGGGATGTTTTTCCAAGGACTTCCATAGCCAGGCTAGTCCTTCCCTGGGAGGCTTGTGCTTGCTGGTGTTTTCCAAAAGTGGTGGTGCCCATAACTAGAGGGGTGTGTTGTGCTCCTCACTGACCCAGGAGAGCAGGTGTCTTCTTGCCCCTTGTGTGTAAGGTGGTGGAGCCAAGGTTGAATTGTCCCTGGAAGGGAGGACCAAGAAAAAACAAACCACCCCTCCAACCTGGTTGAGGGAGGTGAAACATTTACTGCTGTTCCTTCAAAGATGGTCATTGGTGACTGTATGAGGACCCTGAGTGTGAGGGTTGGACACCAAAACTTTATGGAGCATGGTGGGGGAGAAGGAAAGAGGAAAGTTATCAAGGAGGCCTTCAGCCAGATCTTTACCCTCTGGGGTCTAAGTTTCTTCCCTCCAGTTGGCAAGTTACTAGTTTCAAAAGAGATTTTCTGGCCTGACTATAAGACCCTGAGACTCCAAGGAGCCCCCTGTGTAGGTAGAGCTCTCCCTGCCTAAGAGGGTCTATGGGTGGTGATGGCTCCCTTAGGAAGCCAGTGCAGCCCCTCCAGGCCGTGGCTGGACCCAGCTCTCTTCCCAAGAGGCTGCCAGCCACAACTGCTCCTCACTGTGCTGAGCCAGCGGTGACCTCGCAGGGGCACATTCTGGCACAGTATATGTTACCAATAAAGTTTTACGTGGTTAAACATTACTTGGGCTGGCAGCTGTGGGCTGCCCAGTCTCCAGGCTGGAGCTCTCTCCCTTGCAGAGCTGAGGCAGGGTGTAGTAAGTTAGGGAGGTGACTTTTGCTCACAGACTGGGCTAAAACCTGTGCCCTTAGTCCCAGTGTCCTGAGCCCTCTGCCCTCACTGTAGGGGTTGGCTTGCACATGTGATGGGTTCATGGGTTGTTCCCCAGGACAGCCACAGTTCTTTCTTCCGAACCTGGTGTTGGCTGGAGGACGTTCATGGGGATGGTGGAGCTGTAGCAGCTCCACAGCAATCAGCCCTGAGGCAGGAAAGCAGTTGGAGGCTGTAGCTAAACAGAGATCTTGTTGCAAGAGATTTAAACCTGAAGGACTCGTCCTTTTGCAGCGCCAAGTTCAGCGAGGGGGAGAGGAGGTGGCTACCCTTGGCCTCCTGAAGGGCTGCCCAGAGGGCTGGCAGGAGAGATGAGGGGCAGGAGGTGGTGTGAGGCTGGCTTGGCCTTGGGAACCCTTGGTAAACCACTCCCAGATGAGACTGATGGCTGCTGCTCCCGGCACTGCTGCGCCACGGTGACGATCCTGGCGGCACCAGGCAGCTGTAGCTGTGACTGCAGCCTGACCCTGCCCTGCTGGGGACTCTGCTGACTTTTAAGATTGTCCCATCTGCCTTCCCTCCCTCCCACCTTCTCTCAAATCCCTCCTTTGATGTCCCTAGTGAACTCCAGCCATGATGCCAGCGCAGGCTAGCCCTGAAGCTCAGAGCTGTCCCTGGACATGGGACGCCCTAGTGATGCCTTATTGCAGCTAGTGGAGTGGCTGTACCACAGCTCCATTCCTAGAAGTGTTAAGCATGATGGCAGCCACATCTGGAAAGACTGGTAAGGTAACCATCTCTCCTCCAAGGTGCACCATGGGATTTGCAAGCTTCTGCCCATCTCTGTAGCCCGTATCTCCTTGGCAACCCAGTGCATGGGCCTCACGCTACCCACCCACCAGAGCCTGGGGAATGAGATACCAGGCCTTCTTTCTAACCCACATCTCCAACTTGGCAGCACATGACATGGCGCACACAGCATGGCACCATCTTACATCAGCTCCTCCCAGCTGAGCCAGGCTCAGCCAGGCCCCGCCGGTCAGAGGGGAGCAGCCCGGTTGAGCCAGGGCAGAGACCACCCTGCCACTTGGCGTGAAAGAAACCTGGTTTCTCCCCAACCTTGACCCTTTGAGGGCAACCAGAAATACACCTTGACCTCACTCCTGGCACACGGTGGGGGAGGTGAGTGACGTGATAGTGATAGCACACGACTAAATTTTAGTGGGCACCTTAGACAACAGCACTTGCCGGTCACTTTGTTCCAGAATCGCATACCGGGACAGACCCTGCCCTTAATCATGGGTCTAATCTCACATCTTTCCTCTCCAGTTACTGGAAACGAAGCCAGTTCCTACCTGGAGCTTGGCTTCTCTCGTGCAACCTGAAATCACAGGCAGGACACAGGTTGTGTGAGCTGTAACGGAGGGAATTGGCAGCCTGGGAGAGAGGGGAGTGGCATAGGAGACTGGGAGCTTGGGAAGAGGGAAGGTGGACTGGTTGGCAGGGAGATGGTTGATGTTTGACTGAAGGAGTCGAGTCCTGCCTCAGTTCTCCTTGTAGTGGTTCTGAGCAGACTTTTTTCCTCTCTGTGGAAGTGATTTTGGGGAAAGAAGTCACTATGTTCCTGGAGCTCTTCTGCAAAGAGGTGCTTCTGGCTGTGGCTTCAGGACTCTGCTCTGGGCAGGGCTTGCCCTGGGAAGCATGGGCTGCGCCCAGGATTGGCTCATAAGAGCATGAGTGAATCTGCTGGTGGCGGCCACATGGTGCTTGCTGACCTGTTGGATATCCAGAGCCCAGGTAGGCCCTTGGAAGGCAGGGAGCCAGGTCATGGCTTGAAAGCTTGGAGATGCCAATCCTTTTAGGAAGTGGGCTGCCCCGGGTGCCCTCAGGGCATCTGTGTTGCTGCTGCCTTGTCGGGAGACTTTGAAGAGATAGCAGAGGTGTGTCTCTGATGCTGGAACCTGTCCAAGTGAGTGGTGGTTGGAAGGAGCAGTCCTGGATTGTGGGTGGTGGTGATGCAAGAGGTTGGTACCCCAAAACCCCTTTCTCTGCAGCTAAACTCTGACAAATCCTCCCTGGGATGGATGGAGACAGTGATGGATTTTCTGTCCTTAATAACTTCTTGCCTCTTTATTTGGGTGGTTGTGTAGGGGCTTGGCAGGATTATTTTTTCTGGGCAAGCTCCATGCTTCCCAGGGGTGTGAAACCTCTTCAAGACCTTCATGGTCGTAATGTCTTCCTAAATTCAAGTGACTCAGTGGTGGCATAGCTGACCAAGCAGCCCCAAGCCCTAGGCAGTTCTCTCCTAGCCATGGAAAAGCAGGCAGGAGATGTTCCGAGCTCCACCAGGTACCTGCTGAGCAGCCGTCCTCACTAAATGGTGGGTGAACTGGACTGAGATGCCATCAGAAGAGACTTGTGGCCATCAGTGACTTTCCCTGCCTGGCTCAACCCAAAGGAAAGCAGCACAACTTGCTTCCACTCCAGGAAAAAGGGAAATGCTTGTTTGCTGCAGTCTGTGAGGCGAGTGTGTCTCCATGAGCTGTAGGGGTACAAGGCATTGGATTGATGGATGGATGCCTGTCCAAACATTCCTAAGCAAGAGGATGGATCAGTGCCTGTCTTCTCCTGTGTGTTCCTCAGTCTGGGGTGGGATGATGTGCTGATCCTCCAGCTCTCTCTTGCTAGAGCTGCCTGGGGAGACATGTGTGCTCAATCTGACTGCATCCTGCCTTCCTGATGGTGGGCTGAGCTGCTTGGGTCTCACACATCATGCCAGCATTTGGATGCTTGTTCCCATCTCCCTGGAGGACCCTGGAAGCAGGTGACCTGGGTGCAGTGCCCGCTGCTGAGGCAGAAGGTGTGTGTCCAGTGTGCACTAATGGGTGAGGAGGTGCCTTGTGGGTGCAGCTGCACCGCTGTCCTGGCCTGCCTGGGTCATGTTCCCACTGGCTGTGTTTCCAGCTGGAGCAGAGCAGCTCTTACTGGCCATCAGTGTGGGCTGCCCAAGGCTCTCTCCTGGTGACCTTCAGCCAGGGGAGCAGTGGCTGCGAGGCTGAGGATCTCAGCAGCACGAGTGAAGATGCTGCTCTGCATTTGAGCAGCTGGCAACAAAACGCAGCTCTTGGATGTGTTGGTTGGATCCTACCAGCTCCCAGCAGCACAATAGAGTACTGTGTTCTTGCCTGTACCAGAAGCCTTTCTGGTCCCTGGGACTATTCCAGCTGTAGGGATAGCTCGGGGCTCCGAGAGCTGCTGGGGCTGCTTGCAGACCTAAAGGTAACTAAGGAGGAAAGGCAGGTCCTCCAAGTCAAAGGTGGCCTGAGGATAGAGGGACCTGTATATTCAGTCCTTTCCCTCTTTCCTTCTGAAGGAATTGCTCTCCATGAGAATGGTGGGCAATGGATACTTAAATTCTGAGGGTAATTGGGAGAGACAAAGGAGGTCTTTACAAGGAGAGTGAAGTGCTGATGTGGTGTTTCTCTGCTGTATTTATCATTTCTTTGTGACTTTTAGGCAGCTGCTGCTGGTGTGCTGCAGCAAGTGAGGGGTGTATCACCTGGCCTCTGGAAGGTGGCAGGTAGAGACACACATTTCTCCTCTCCAGCTCTTTTCTGGACAGATGTTGAAGGTGGCAGCATGAGGCTGCTGCAGTCAGCTGGCAGTTTCTGCCTCGTCCCTACAGGCGGGCGAGCAGGAGATATTTCAGTGGTGTGACCAGCCTCCTTTCCAACTGTGAGCTAATGCTTCTCCAGAAACAACTGTGTCTCTTCCAGTAAAAACCTCCCTTGTTCTGCTTTCCTTGCCCAGTGCTGGACATCTCCATTCTTTCTCAGCTTCCTCCTTGACGGATGTAGTATTTTGAGGGGTGTGAAGAGAAAACTACCTTGGCAGGTGCCTAAAGAGTGTGTCCTCTTGGCTGGCTACTGCCTCCGATCTGCTGCTTCCAGTGCTTTCTGCTGCCCTCAGAAACGTCCCTCCTAGTGAGTTCCTGCCTCATCCCATCAAGCCCTTAATCTTTCTGTGGGCTGAAAGACATGGCAGGTCATTCCCTCGCCCTGACATCATGTCAGAGCCTTGGACTATACCCAGGATTGTCACGTCTGCAGGAGCTCCTGCTGGGCTCCAGGCTGAGCCTCTCTGGATACAGGGCTAGGCTGGTGGTCTGTGGGGCCACAGTGGGTTGGGCTGGGTGGGTTTGGTGTGTGAGCACTGGAGGACCTACAGGAGGAATGTGAGGAGAGGTGTCCATCAGCAGTGAAGGTTTATTAGTGCCAAAGCTATGAACAGTGTGTGTTTTAAGAGAAAAGCAGGATTTTTGTTGAAACTAGAGGTGCTGAGGCTCTGCACGTGGGGCAGAAGGTAGTTCAGACCCCTGAGGAGAGGCTGTAGGGCCACCAGGCTGAGGGAGTGGAGTGGGCTGTGCCGGCTCACACACGGCCCTGCTGCTCAGTGGAGCCCAGCGTGGGACGGAGGCGGCTCTCGGGGTTAAGCACTCGAAGCCTTGTGAACTAAGGGGGAGTTTCCTGTTGCTGCTGGGCAGGAGGAAACTGCTTCCAGCTGTTGAGGGGAGGGGTGCTGGAGTGGGAGACACTGGCCAGGGATGACGGCTGCTGGCTGCCGAGGAGATGTGGCTCTGCTGAGCAAGCACCTCCTGGTGACAGGGCTTGGGGGGAGCAACTGTCCTTGCTTTGGCAGCTGTTGTGGTGGCCCTGTAAAGTTGTCTATGATGCTGCTGCCCACTATGAGCCTTCCTGGTGGTGTCAGTGCAAGGGGACAGCAGTGTCTAGTGCAGCATGGTGGCCCTGACAGGGCAGCAAGGGCCCCTCTCACAGGCTAATGGAGAAGTGAAAACAGGCTGGGTGTGGCACCAAGACAGCACTTTGGTCCTGGCACTGGATGGGACCCCTCTCTGGGGAGGAAGGTCTTGGTAATATTCATGTCCTCAAGGCTGGACTGACTGGTATGCACTTGGCTGCTGTGTCATATAGTGAGGTATGGGGCCAGCTGAGAGCTGACTTAGTGGCACCCACTTGCCTTGTGAAAGTGTCTGGCAAGAATCCAGCAGGTTATGGAACCATAGAATGGTTTGGGTTGGAAGGGACCTTAAAGGGGGGGTTCTGCTGCTTTTCTCCCCATCTTAGAGCCAAGTCTATCATTCTGCTGGTTCCCAGAGCCCTGAATGTACCAAGCTGTGCTCCCCTGCCAGCAGCTGGGGAGGGAGGAGCGTGGGATCACTGCTGTGCTCCAGCTCCCTTTGCAACCAGCAGCAGGATGAAGCTCCACTCGCTGCTCCTGCTGCTGGTTCTGTGCTCAGTCAGGTGGCATGGGCTCATCTCCTGCTGCTCCCAGGCATGGAGCTGCTAACACAGCCCAGCCTGACAACCAGCCTTGCTGACCCAGCAGAAACATCTGGATGTCTCATGCTGCTGGATGTTGCCAGGTTTTCTGCGTCTCTTGATGGGCTGGAAAGTGTCTGTTCAGTTACTGTCCCTTGTCTGCTTGTTGAGGCCCCATGCAGCTCCTTCCTTGGCAAGGAGCAGGTCTGAGCAATAGAAGTAGCAGCAAGGACCTGCCAGGGAAGCCTCCAAGCCTTGCTAGTTTGCAGCTCTACCAGGTTCTTCCCATGATGTGGTTTGCCTGCAGCTTGTTCTGGTGGCTGAGTTGTGACTCTGAGTCTTACAGTGGTGGATGAGCCACTTCTTACCCATGTCATGCAGAGGCTGTCTGGTTTTAATGCGTAGTTTTAGATGCCTCCTTTGGCTGGCTGAGGGTGGAGCAGCCACCACCTTGGGATGCTATGTGCTCAAAGTGAGCCCCTCTTCCCTGCTTGAGGCTGAACAGGGGGGAAAGAAGTAAACTTGGAGGGGGGGGGGCAATGAGAGTGTGCTGGGGGTGAAGAGTCCCTCCTTGTGCCTGCTTCTGTAGTGGTGAACTTCATGGATAGCTCAGTGGTGAGGAGCTTCCCAAGCATGAAGGGTGGTGTGTGCTGTAGTGAGTGGGGGCCAGGTGTGGGTGTGAATTTTGGGGCTGCCTTCTGGTTATGCCAATAGACAGAGAGTGCTCGAGGTGTTGAGACAAGCCCTGAGATGGGCTGCTGGCTTCCTTCTTGGACGTGTGGGATCCTGCCGTGCTCCTTCAGGGAGGACCTGGCCAGGTCCCAGTGCCACCAGAGCTGGCCAGTGTGAGGCTGGCATACTGGGCTGTGCCGGTGTGGTGCAGCCCCAGGATGAGATGCTACTCAAATAGTATTTGGGGCTCAACCTGGAGCCTCCTTTCCTGTACTGGAGACATCTTTTGGTCCGTAGACTTTGCACATGGCTTGAAGGAGCTGAAGGTTTGTGCTCTGGTTGAAATAATCCTGGATCATGGACCTCTGCCATGGCTTTCTTTTCCAGATGCGCTGGTATCCTCCCTCTGAAGCTACTCAGCAAGGATGGAAGTCTCGTCAGTTTTGTTAGTTCGTTAGTAAGTAATTAATTACTCTTGGAGCCAGATCCTTGTCCTGCTCTTCCTTGGGCTCTTGTGCGGGAGGAGGGATGGGAGCTCGAGCTCAGTCCTACCCATCCCCCAAGAATGCGGTTGTGTTTCAGGGATGGGTTATGGGAGCGGGGGGACCCAGCGATCTCCGGGGTAGAGAGGGGGCCGTGATGCTGCTCAGGGGGCGGATCCAGCCAACCCCCCTCGTTCACGGCCGCTCCTCTCCCGCAGTGTCTCTCCTCGACTCGTGTTCCTCCCCCCTGCCTCTCCGCGGAGGGATGTGCCAGGGACGATCGCTCCGACTCCTCTCGGTTTGGTTTGCGGCCAGCGGACAAGGCGCCCGGCCCCGCCGCGCTCCCCCCGGACTGTGGGGTACCCCCTTCCCCGGACTGTGAAGCCGCCGCGGCCCCAGCCGTGGGGCTGTGCGCCGCCTCCATCCCCCTCTCCCTCCATCCTTCCCCCTATCCATCCCCAGGACATCCTCCCTGACCGAGCTTCGCCGGCCGGCTGCGCCGAAACCCAGCCGGGGGGGCTCGGTCCTGGGCTTCCCCGGGCTCGCCCTGCGTGGGGGGCGGCTCGGCTGAAGGAATCGAAAGGCAAAATGGGTTTTGCATGTTTTCTGGCATGAATTAAAACACTTAACTTGTGTCTGTGTGAGTGTAAGTTTGTTTGTTCTAGCGTTTGTGTAACCGTTAGCAACAGGTCTTGGCCCAACGGAATGATCCATCAAGGTTTTCCTCTTGCTCCGGTGAAGACTTGGCTTTGAGAAATACTAACTGTCCTTGTCTCACCCTGTCTCCCACCTCTACCCTCCCCTCCCCAGGACGACCAGAAAAATTTGAAAAACGCCTTTTTTTCTTTTTTTTTTTTTTTTTTCTCCTCCTCCAAGTACGATGCACTGGGTTTCTGTTCTCATCCATTCTGCTCCTGTTTTAAAGTCAGGGTTATTATTTTTTTTCTTCCTTCTTCAGACTTCTATATATAGAACGGCTGTAAAATATCTAACCTCTTTTTTGTTTTCCACATCCTTCTGATTGGAGAGCATCCAGTCCTGCCAAATAATCAGCCATCTTTATGGGAATACCGAACAAAAAAAGATAAAAAGTACGAGTATTTTTGTACCATGTGTAA